TCTCTAAAATTTGTGTAAAATACAATCCACATTATTTCAATTAAATCCACATAATTCTTAAGAACTAATTCAGCTGCTGCAATAAATTCAATTCAATTTTATATTTATTGTTAGTGTATATTTTATATGAGTGTGTATGTACAAGAGGAGTCACACAGACATGTTAATGGCTGTCTGTTATTTTGGTCTCCTCCTTTGGCGTACATTACCAAAAAGTAAACAATAAAACACAAATATAACAACGCTCGAAAACCCAACAAATACAAAAAACATGACTAAAATACAGACATACAAACATACATAAATATAAATGGGCCACAAAACCAAAGAAAAAAGCGTGTGTGTGTGTGTGTTTGTGGGTGTGCTTGGGTGCGTACATATGGCTTGTGGGCAGATGGGCTTGGGGGATGGGGAGGTGGAGGAAAGAACAAATCTTAAGATGGTAATAGGCAAATACTATAAACAATGTAAACATGCCGCAGACGGAGCCTGCCGCAACAGCAGTAAAAGAAGAAACAGACAAAGAAGAAAAAATCAAGTAAACAACAAAACCAAACAAGGAAAAATATTATCCAGAAATCCCCCAAAGCAACACAACAAACACTCTACAACATTTCCACAAACACTTGACAATAAGGACGGAGCCGGAGAGACCTAAGCACGAACAGACACGAAGATGAACATTTTGAAGAAGTCTTGAAAACAAACTCTGGATGAGTATGACGGCGGCAGCGAATCGGTTGAGGTTTAATTAAATTAATGATAAATTTTGTTTTATTATTTTGGTCGATCGTTCCATTGGAGGAAGATAAATTTAAGGATGTCGCGGAATAACTAGGTTTACAGGATTTTATTAAAGCGAGAATGTTGGGAAATTGTTTGGGGGCGGAGAATATTGTGGGTGTGTTGTTTCGATGCCGTATTTAGGGATGTCGCTTTAAATTTCATTTTGGCATATTTTGAGAATAAAAACTTAAATGGCTTGATTTGAAAATAAGTCAAAGGAAAGACAAAAAAAAAAAAACAGACTTATAAATGATTTATATGTGAAACATGCCCTTATAATCCGAGGCTAAAAAAATTGATATTGATAAAAATCAACGATTATAGATCCTGGAAAAATTCATTTAAAAAATCCACGACTATAGCGTCTAAAAAATTTCCTAAAAGAAAAATCCACGAGTATAGCTTCTAAAAATTATTTAAAAAAAATCCACCTTTCTTAGTGTAAGAAATAGTTTTAATCTACGATTTTAGCTGCCTCATGCAAAGTTTAAATCCACTATTGTTGCTCGAAAAATCCTCTGAAAAACAAATTTTTAAAAAATCTTTGATTATAGATGTGATTGTCTTTAAAAAAGTTGCTTTAAAATCCTCAAAAAAAAAAAAAAAACAAAAAAAAACAATAATTATGTAAAAAATCACGATTATAGACTCTAAAAAATTTATTTCAAAAATCCACGTTTATAGCCTCTGAAAAATGTGTTAAAAAATCCGCAATATGAGTTTGTAAAACCATTATTTAAAAAAAAAAATATTTAAAAAATCCACGATTAGAGTCTCAAAAAAATATTTAAAAAATCCACGATTAGAGTCTCAAAAAAATATTTAAAAAATCCACGATTAGAGTCTCACAAAAATATTTAAAAAATCCACGATTAGAGTCTCAAAAAAATATTTAAAAAATCCACGATTAGAGTCTCAAAAAAATATTTAAAAAATCCACGATTAGAGTCTCAAAAAAATATTTAAAAAATCCACGATTAGAGTCTCAAAAAAATATTTAAAAAATCCACGATTAGAGTCTCACAAAAATATTTAAAAAATCCACGATTAGAGTCTCAAAAAAATATTTAAAAAATCCACGATTAGAGTCTCAAAAAAATATTTAAAAAATCCACGATTAGAGTCTCAAAAAAATATTTAAAAAATCCACGATTAGAGTCTCAAAAAAATATTTAAAAAATCCACGATTAGAGTCTCAAAAAAATATTTAAAAAATCCACGATTAGAGTCTCAAAAAAATATTTAAAAAATCCACGATTAGAGTCTCAAAAAAATATTTAAAAAATCCACGATTAGAGTCTCAAAAAAAAAAAAATATTTAAAAAATCCACTATTAGAGTCTCATAAAAAAAATATATATAAAAAATCCACGATTAGAGTCTCAAAAAAAATATTTAAAAAATCCATGATTAGAGTCTCAAAAAAAATATTTCAAAAATCCACGATTAAAGTCTCAAAAAAAAAAAAAAAAATTAAAAAATCCACGATTATAGCCTCTAAAAATGTTTTAAAAACCAGTAAGGAAAAGTCAAAAGTCGGGCGGGCCGACTATATGATACCCTACAACGCTATGCATATTTAGTAGAGCTCCCGTAACAAAAGAATTTATTTCAAGTAGATCATACCAACTATCAACATTTGACTTTAGAACAGTTATAGTTGGTTTCAGAGGGAACTAATATATAGGAGGCACATCCAATACTGAATCGATTTTGACTAAATTTTACGGAGACATTTTGATATTTTATACTAAATAACATTGCTATAGAGTACATGATATCACTTGGAGGAGGTTTAATTAAAAAAATATATAGAGGGAGCAGAGTTGCACAAAATGGAAACGTACGTCCCGAAATTGACTCCATTTGGGCTGATATCAGAAATTATTTTCACAATAAACCTGAAATCGCATTAAGGATATATATGTGAGATATATCCAAATCATTGCCGTTCTCGATAAAATTTGGCAAAGGTATTTCCGAGCTCTATAAGATATCTGCTACGAAATATTATTGTTGTGAAATCCATATTACGGATGTAAGGGACTTAAACACCAAAACAGATGAAAAATTTATATGAGAGCTCTAGCTATATCTGAATAGATTTTCTGTGAATTTAATGTACTTGCTTCTAGTCCGAATTCGGCCGGATATGCCAAAATTGACTGATATTGGCCCTTTGGTGCACAATTAACCCGAAATCGGTTAATGATATTTATATGGGAGCTATATCCAAACCAAATTGACAAAATTTGATACACTTATTTTGGAGCTGTAAATTACGCTTGTGAGGGACTATAAACCCCAAACCGAATAAAACACATACATGGGAGCTATATCCTAATCTGAAGCAATCTCGAGGTATTTTTGAGCAGAATCTGCTATCCGGTACCAAATATTATTCTTCTCCAAATTTGATTTACTTGCTTCTAGACTGAATTCGGTGGGATGTACCAAAATACAGGTCATTTGGTCTTATATTAACCATTATGTGCGCAATTTACCCGAAATCGGTTGAAAATATATGGGAGCTATATCTAAATCTGATCCGATTATCACTAATTTCAAAAAGGTTCGTCCTTGGGTCAAACAAACATTGTTTACAAAATTTCATCTCAATCGGATAATAAATGCGACCTGCATTTTGTTCACAAGAATAAATGGACGGACGGACAGGCGGACGGACTTACATGTATACATAGAATCAAAAAGTATTTCTATGAAGAACCTCAAACGTAACTATGGGTCTATCTCGCTTCTTTCTCCCTGTTACAAAAAAATGCATAAATTATGGTAAGGGTATTACCACTATGTGGTGTAGGGTATAAAAACAACGATTATAGCTTCCGAAAATGTGATTTATGTAAAAACTCCTCAAATATAGCCTCTTAAAAAATATTTAAAAATCCACGACAACACCTCTGATAGCCTCTAAAAAATATGCTGAAAAATCAACAATTATAGCCTCTAAAAAATTATTAAAAAATTCAAGATTATAGCTATTATATTTCTTGAACAGATTTATTTAAAAAATCCATGATTATAGATCTGATAGTTCTTGAAGAAATATATTTAAAAATCCACGGTTGTAGACCCGATAGTCCTTGAAAAGGCATTTTTTAAAAAATTCATTGTTGTACTACTGATAGTCCTTGTAAAAATGTTTTTAAAAATCCACCAGTAAATCCATGTTAGTCCTTTAAATATATTTTTAAACATTAATAATAACAAATCCCCGATTTTTACTCTCATAGTCCTGTAAAAATATCCATAAATTAACTCCTTCGGTGGCCCTTCAAACATTAAAAAAAAATAAAAAACATGTGATAGATCTTCATCTGAGTCCTTAAAAATTTAGGATTATTGGCCTGACAATTATTAAAAATTTCAGAACATTCAAGATTTTTTACATCGTGACAGAGGCGACTTTTAAAGGACATTTATGAAAGCAATGAAAGTCCTTAAAAACCCATAAATATTTCTCTGATAGTCCTTAAAAATTTATTTTAGTTAACTAGCATTTTTGAAGGATTATTAGAGCAATAATAGTCCCTATAAAACTTAGAAATCCATTACTTTTTAAGATCTCTAAAACCTGAAAAAAAACTGTATGACTTTTGAAGGACTATTCGAGCAATTTTAATGTCAAAAGGGAACTGAATTTGAAGGACAATTAGAGCACAAATTGGTTAAAAAATTACTGGCTTTTTAAGGACTATCGTAGCAATAATAGTCTTTTAAAATTTTCGAAATTTAAGGGCAAATATGATCAAATCAAAGACTATCAGAGCAATAACTTTTCTTCAATGTCTAATAATAGTCCCAAAAACCCATGACATTTGAAGAACTTTCGGAGTATAGTCCTTGAAAAATTCATTACGTTTAAGGCAATAACAGTTTTAAAAAACTCGGCATTTGATTACTATCCTATTTAAATAAGACCTTACTTGTTACGAAAATACCTTCTTTGAGAGTCCTTTAAAAATATTCCAGAAAATATCTACAATTTCGGAATTTTAGAAAAAAAAGACAGTTCTTAAAAAAAAAAACAAAAATTGGTTTCATAAAAAAAATCCATGAAAGCGTATTTCGATGCTATCATTAATGCAATCCTAACATAGAAATCTGAAACGGATCGGGGTATAACATATTTGCACTACATTCTTTTGATTATAATATTAATTATATGTTTTTTTCCTACAAATTTCATTTTAGGTCATTAATTGCGGCGATTTGGATAGCTATCCGCTGCTGCAATATTTGGACTTATCACACAGCCATATTGAACAAATCGAGGACGATGCTTTGGGTCGCTTGGAAATATTGGAAATTTTAATGTTGGACCACAATAATTTGAAGAAAATACCCCAGAGTTTGCCGGTGTCATTGGAACATTTGTTTTTGCAATACAATAATATTATGGACATCCAGTCACAATCCTTCCAGGGTCTGACAAGTTTGAAGACCCTTGATTTGTCGAACAACAAGTTGTTGTATTTGCCGGACATAACCTTGCCGAAGCTGCAAACTCTTAATTTACAATCGTCGGAGATACGTGGTATTAGCCAGGGTATAATTCATACCCTGCCAAGACTTAATGAGTTGCTGTTGGAAGATAACCCAATTAAATGTTCAGATCTGTTGGGTATAGCCGAATGGGCCAGCACCTGTCGTTTGAGGACAAATAAAGAGGAAGAGGTGATGGAAGACTCCGAAAATGATGAAGACTCCGAGGGAGGTAATGAACGTGGCAGGAATTTAAAAGACAACTTTATGAAAATGTACAATTTCTATGAGAAATTTGGTGGGGAACAATGTCCAAGAAATTCAAGTCTAAATAAATTTATACCCCAACCCAAGTGTGCCATTGACAAGAAAATAAACCAATCCAACTTGCAGTTGTCGCTGCCAAAGAAAATTACACTTGAACGTTCTCTTGAAGTTGAAAACTTTAATTTGAACTCCATCATGGATGAAGCCATACCACTGCCCTCCAAAAAGGCCGGGCAGCAGGCCATAGCTTCTAATAAGATCCTAGCTGCAAGTGCGGGTGAGGTCGATGTAAAAGCAATTACAACAAATGAAATGCCAGTCCCAATAACACTGGAAATGAAAAAGAATGGAAAAGAAGAAGAAGAAAATGAAATGCCAAGAACAACAACAACAGCAGCTGGGACACCAACTACATTGCAGTCAACATTAGCATCTGTGGATAAGCCGCAAGAACATTCCAACTCGGCAAATGCGAGCAAAGAATTCAGCGAGATGGCAAAGGCCTTAATCGCCACAAATGCAGCTGGAGAAAATGCAACGGGCCAAGACAGAGAAGAACAAACAATTGAGGACCAAAGAAATTCCAATGGTGAAATGAATTCAAGTACAACTGAAACTATGAGAGAATTTTCATCACAGCAGCAACAAAAACAACAACAACAACACAATATTGTGGGAGCTACACAAACATTACAGGCAACTTTACTACCAACTGCCAATCTGCCGGAAATATTAAAGGAAAATATGAAAGAAAAACCGGGCAAAGAAACTGCACAAGGAAATTTAGCATTGGCGGCAGACAGAATGACAGACGAAATTCTGAGAGCAACAACACCAACAAATCTACCAAAAACAACTTCCGCAATGGCAATAAATTTAACAAAATCGCAGGCCATCACTGGTGGTATGGCAGATACCAGCAAAGAAAATGGGGAGAGGGAAATGACATCGACAACGACAACAACAACACAGCCATCCACTCCCCCAATGTCTCCACTTTCCACAACAACACTGGCCACCAGGCTTGCGAATGTCAAACTTAATAAAGAACAACAAGAAATTAAAACAGAGATTGGCTTAACAAAAAAGATTAAATCTTTGGAAAGCAGCACAACACAAGAACCAGCAGTAGCAACGACGAGAACAACAACAACAACATCAACCACAACAACACCAACAACAATAAAAGGCTTATCTCCACCCAAAATGACATTAACAAGTTCTGCTACTACGCAAACGGACATTTATGCAAATATTAACACCCAAAGTAATGAACAGAGGAGGATCGATGTAACGACCAGCAGCAGTGTGGCAGAAAATACAGCCGAAGCAAAACAACAGCTAAAAGAGGATAGTATTACAACAACTGCTCAACAACTCAGCTCTAAACCGCTTTTAACAATGGCTAAAGATAAGGATTTAGCATCAAACAATACCATTATCACTGCAGCAGCAGCAGCAGCTACCCACAGCAATAACAATTTTTCAAACAACAACAATGACATGGACACTGATGCTCAAGATGACAACAATAAAATGTCCAGCGCACTAGAAATTACGACAACAATTACACCGAGGAACAATGTCCAACAATCTACAGCAACATCGCAACAGCATCACTCTTGGTCGTCCACAATAACCTCACCAACCCCCACCTCCAACATTGTGTATCAAACTATCACAACTGAGGTAGAAAATTCATCAATGACAGTGACAGCATCTCCATCGGCCGTACCATCATTAGATGGAAATGATGTCAATGATAAATGCCTGCAATCGAATGCGAATGGTAAGTTTTAAACGACTACATGAAAAACAAGGACTAACAACAAGCCTATATTATCATCTATTGTCCGACAAACGAACAAGTGATTGGGGCCAATTATACAACCGAGCCAAGAAAAGTGTACTAATTGGGGCAGAATTTGGTCCGAAAGACTGAAGTAGCTGTCGGTGACGAAAAATCATTTTTTACGATTTTAATTTCATTAGTTTTTATACCATCCATTAAATGGTGGGTAAATTAAGGTTGTAAAAAAAACATGTAAAAAACAGATAAGGCTGGCTTTTAATACCTTCCACCATTTGAAGGAACTTGAAAAATTTCAATAAAACTCCGAAAACCACCACTTAAATAAAAATCCTTATATGTGGACTATACGAAGACGTGGACCTGCATACGAAATTTTAGTCATAAGCTGTAGTACATATTACGAACTTTAAATATGAAATTTGTTACGACCACGGTGAATAATGTCGCGAAAATCATGAATATACCGAATATCAAGAGGTACCGTCATATGGGGGCTATACAAAGACGTGGGCCTGCATACGAAATTTTTTGCCATAGGTTGTAGTACCATAGTAATATTTACCAATACGAAATTTAAAAAGATTCCGGTGAATAATGTTGCTGAAATCATCAAAAAATACCGAATATCGTGAGGAACCGTTATATGGGGGCTATACCAAGACGTGGTCCTGCACAGACAATTTTCTGTCATAGGCTGTAGTATCCATTACGAACTTAATTTGAAACAATTCCAATGAATAATGTCGATAAAATCATCAAAATACCGAACATCGTGAGGTACCATAATATAGGAGCTTTACGAAGACGTGGACCTGCATACGAAATTTTTTCCCATAGGTTGTAGTACCCATTGAGATCCACCAATACGAAATTTGAAAGGATTCCGGTGAATAATGCGTCTGAAATCACCAAAACACCGAACATCGGGAGGTACCTTTATATGGGAGCTTTACGAAGACGTAGTCCTGCATACAGACATTTTTGTTATTCAAACACGAAATTCGAAATAATTCCGGTAAATAATGTCGCTAAAATCATGAAAATATCGAATAATGGGTGGTGGCGGGTACCGTTATAATGGGGCCTATATGAAGACGACCTTCAAATATGAAATAATTCCGGTAAACAATGTCGTTAAAATCATGAAATTATCGAATATAGGGAGGTATCGTTATATGAGGCTATACGAACACGTTGACTGACATGGCTCATTTACGAACTTAACCTGCCTAATGGTAAACTATGCATGTATGCAAGATTTTAGACTTCTACCTCAATTCGTTCGTGATTACAACAGTCGGACAGACAGAGCCTTACCAGTCGGATTAGAAAGAGCCTTACCAGTCGACAATTTTTCGTATAAACGCTTAATGGTGTTCTTAGAAGGCGCACTTCTCAGGTTTTTTTTTTTTCACTATTGACTTCTTCTGTTGAATGTAAATTTCAACTATTTCAGAGCGCTCGTGTGGCGTGTATTGGTTCATGGTAAAAATCTGCTTGGACTGACGCTTCAAACGCGGTATGTCATTAAGCGATGTGACATCTCTATCAAAAGTTATGGCGTTGCCAGATGGGTCCGTCGAATATGGGCAACCCTGTATTTTGTAGGGTCTTTTATGAATATTTCGAGGAGTTACAAACGGAATGACAAAGCTAATATAACCTCCATAGAATGGTGGAGGGTATAAAAAACATTTTACACTCAAAAGATTCTAAGGCGATCCATTTGCCTGTCTGTGAAAATTAGTCTAGGTTCCCAAAGGAATTAAGTAGGTGGAGAGAATTTCAATCATATGTATTTCAGGTCCGTAGAATTTATGGAAATTCAAGTTTTAAGGTTAGGAAAAATACTTCAATGATTTTAAACTTTTAGAATGTTAACATTTGGTACTACGTGAACGGAAAGAGCTAAAAATTTTTTTGAAATTCGGTACGAGAATCATGTTTGGAAAAATAGTAGTTTTATGTATGAAGATGGTTTTGGAAATGTGTACTAAATGTGCGAACTATATACTATATACTTGTAATATAATTGGTTCAATTTAGAATTGGTAGAATAGATAATACTTGAAATCTGAAAATTTGGTACTAGGGTCACTATTCGAGTGTAGGTGGTTTCGGAAATGTGTACTATAATTGTACGAAAAGTACTAAGTGGTACTCCTCAAATTTGACATTGAAGTCTCTGTTGAAATCTGAAATTGAGATATGGAGGTGGTTTTAGAAATGTGTATTATAATTGTACGAAAAGCACTAACTGGTACTAAACTTGGTATTTGGTTAAGAAATAGAGGTGAAATCCTGAAATTTTGATTTTGAGGTTGAGAGAAGAGGGCTGATTTTTAATATGCGTAATATAATTGTACTTAATTGGTACTAAATTTTTATAATGGGGTGAAGGGATAAGGCTGGAGTCATCAACTTTGCCAAACTGCCCAAATCGAATATAGCCTTTGCTTACTTGGTTTTCCTTACATTCGTGGACAAGCTTTGATGTTTGTTTGAAGTACACTGCCAAGAAAATGGAAATCTTAAAAGGGACTGGAACTGACTTCACTATTCTCTTCTACCTGTACATTTTTCAGGAACACTATTTTTAAAATTTCTTTAGACGTTTATTGTGAAGTGGTAGTTACCTTAAAATGTGACAGTTTTCGGTCTGCCTTCTCGCATTCTGAGACGTACAGCACTGCATGCTACAATTAGTCTAATACCTTATTTAAAAAAATATCCTTATGAATAGACATTTAATAGGACTAAGCTAAACAGCTGACCTTGGAAATATCCGCTTTAATCTCAGAGAATGCAATATGTTACAATTAAAACTGGTATAAGAAACTTACCTGCCGTAGTCAAGCACAAACATGAAATGAAAAATAAGAAACAAAATTATAAAAATGACATTTGACATAAAGCAAAAAAATTGTATAATTCATAGAAACTTCGATATATTTAACATTTTTCGTAAAAAAGTAAATATTAAAAAACAAGTAAAAAAGCTGTAAGTTCGGCCGGGCCCAACTTTAAATACCCTCCATCATTTGGAACGAATTCGGCAATTTTCAAAAAAAAAAAAAAAAAAAAAAATCCGTTTAAAGTTCTGTTAAAATCTTAAAAACACCAAAACTTAACCGTTTTATTAGGGTTTATACGGCTACGTGGACCTGCATAGGCAACGTCCGTCATAAACCATTACAATACTCAAATGCGAAACTTAAAAAATGGGTGGATAATGTAGCTAAAATATTAAAAATACCGAATATAGGGAAGTACCATTATATGGGGGCTATACCAAAACGTGGACCTGCACAGACAATTTTCTGCCATTACGAACTACAAATACCAAATTTGAAACAATTCAGGTGAATAATGTAGCTAAAATCATAAATATAGGGAGGTACTATTATATGAGGGCTATACCAAAATGTGGACCTGCACAGACAATTTTCTGCCTTAGCCTTCAGTTTCCATTACGAAGTTGAAATACCACATTTGAAACAATTCCGATAAATAATATCGCTAAAATCATCAAAATATTGAATATCGGGAGGTACCATTATAGGGGGCTATACGAATACGTGGACCTGCACAGATAATTTTATGTCATAGGCTGTAGTATCCATTACGAAGTTCAAATACCAAATTTGAAACAATTCCGATGAATAATGTCGCTAAAATCAACAAAGTACCGAATATCGGGAGGTATCGTTATATGGGGGCTATACGAAGACGTGGACCCGCACAGACAATTTTCTGTCTTTGGCTGTAGTATCCATTACGAACTTCAAAACCCAAATTTGAAACAATTCCGGTGAATAATGTCGCTAAAATCAACAAAGTACCGAATGTAGGGAGGTACCGTTATATGCGGGCGCTACCAAAACCAATACCAATACCAAAAGTCCTGCAGACATAATATACATTTGAGTAAAATTTTATTAATCTACTTCATTTCGTTCGGAAGCTAGAATGATTTCCACAGATGGATAGACGAAAAGACAGACGGACATTGCTAAATCGACATAGCATTTTATGCTGATCAAGAATATATACACTTTTAAGGTATAAAAAGGTCTTACAAACGAAATGACAAACTTAATATACCCTCAATACTATGGTAGAGGGTATAAAAACATGGGGTGTATGACAAACAAATTACAAATTTTATAAACCCTCCTTTCCAAGGTGGAGGGTATAAAAATAGGCTACCTTTTTTAGTCTTCATATTCAGACAATGGCTTGAACAGGCGAAGACCCGCTTGAAACGTTCTGCTCATGGACTAAACTTATTGCCCTCGTTATGTCATGAAAATCGCTTCATGTACTTACTTTTTTAGAATTATGGGTTTAATGTGGGCAACACTTTCTTTTTTTTTTTGAAAAACAAAATGTTCTCTTTCTCCCAATAAAACTAACCTCATTTCCATAAAATGACAACCATAAGAAAATTACTACCTTTTTGTTTAATAAATTTATTGAAATTACTACTACATATATAGACACTGCTATCACCAAAACTATGCCATACATTTTCAGGCATTGAGGTCGCCGCCATTAGCTATGATGTGCTTCGATTTGATTACGGCCATCTTATGCCATTGACAAAGTTATAAAAAAAGAAAAGAGAAAAATACCAAACCTCATAAAAAGGGCGATTTCTTCTCCTAGCATAAGGCCACTTTTGGCCACCCCTTGCAAGCTACTCGGACTTTCCCAAAACGTATACATGCTAGGATACAACGAGCAACAGTCAGCAGCAGCCATGTAATGAAAACAAGCAATTCAATGTTCATGCATAATAATAATGTTATGCCACATCATTGAATGTTATAAGGGTCATTGTATGCGGTTGAACTCGTTTCAGTGCATGGCAAAAAGTAGGTGATGAAGGGGGCAGCCTGCCTTCACAACAGACAGTATAGAATGTAATCTTAAAAGATGCAAATACCATAAAAAAGGAAATTCTAAATCCTATCCACCTACCCAAGAGTCTTGGCCAAGTTTAAAGACACATCTGCAGTGAAGGGACAAACAAAGACACACACACACACAAATACACATACAATTGAAAAAGCAATTTAATGGAAAAAATCTTGCAAACCATTTAAATGACAATTTACAACTGTTTTACAATGAGGAAGGCAATCTCCTAAAATATGGGGGGAAAGAGATAAACAGAGAAAGAGAGAGAGATGGGGAGAAAAGAATAACATTTTCATAAATATTATTTCAACATAAATGTAAATTAAAAATTTTATGACTTTGCTACAAAATATTAAAATTGTGTTTGTTTTTTGTTTTCGTCTCTCCTCTCCCCGCAGGATGTGCAGACCAAAGACCGCAAAGACAAGACAAGTCAAATGTTATTGGTAAAACGCCAACTAACCAAACTAGTCATGAGCCAGAAGAATACGACGTAGAGACAACAACGACAGCTGCTGCAACAACAATGTCAACAACATCGAGCAAAGCAGTCGTAGTTGCAACCACAACTGCCACACCGGTTGTACACAAACATGAGCCACTGCAACTGCACGTCAAGGACCGACATTTGATAGGCACACCATTGCTGATGCATAAAGGCGACAATCTTATGGTGGCCACTGATGAACTCATAAAAGCCAACCCACAGGACTCTGGCAAGCGAAGCACTGGCACAACAAGAACAACAACAACTAGTACACCACCATCAACTACAACTTACGGAATGGCATCGACAGCCGCAGCAGCAGCAACAGGACCACAAACTATGAAAACTATTTTGGCCAAAAGCCAACATTCTACAAAGCCATTTAAGAAGAATCACGACGACGACGACGACAACGTCAATGACATGCTTAGCCTGCGCCACCATCCTCAGCATGAACCTTTCGAACACAAAGGAGAGACCATAAAAGTAAAGGATTATTCACTTTATGCCAAGAAATCAAATAATGCTGATATGGCGAAGACAAAGAAGCCCTCATTGATTATGAAGAAAATGACCATCGTGACCAAACAGCATGAGGTGGTGATTGCGGACAGCCCAGCTAGTGCCACCACCAGCACAACCACCATTAGTCCTTTGCCAGATGCCACCAATTCTGCAGAGATGGTCAATCCCCTAAATGAAAGGCAATTTTCCGAAAGACATTTTCAAGAATTGAGGCCACAACACAACAATATGGCCAAACACAGCACCGTCAATACGCCCGTCAACGGCAACAGACAGCAGGCCCATCATCTCATGCATGAGCCCCAAACATTTCAGCATGAACATGAACTATTAATGCAGCAAATTTTACATGACGAACAACAGCAGCAGCAACAACAACAACATGAGAAACTCTCCCAATCGGAACAGTGGTCAGATCTAAGAAAAGCCAACAACAAAGACAACCATCCTGGTTTGATACTTTTGGTCTCATCGGGCCTTTTTGTGGTGCTACTGTTGGGTCTCATGCATGCCTATCGGTGTGATGTGCCCTGGCGTCGATCCTCTCCAGCCCACCACCTGAGGCCCCACCAACGGCACAACACCTCGTTGGATGATGATGTGCACAGTTTCCTCAGCTACAATGAGGGCATGCAAAAATGGCATCACAGCACACGCCTGGAGGCACCCTACAGTTCGCCGCTACACAATTTGCACGTTCGTGAACTGCAAAAAACTTCAGCCACCGAAAAACCAGCCACCATTAAAACATCCTCATCCTATGCGGAGACAATGGCCGCAGCAACAAATCGCCATCACATTCTGCCGCGTAGCAATTCACAATCATCCAGCACCACTACCCGAACAACATCGCCCTCATCATCGGCCATGCTGGACGATGAGACATTTTACATTGAAATGACACCTCCTGCCGGGCAATTGGCCCAAGCATTGCATTCCGAGCTACTGCCCATGGAACTACTCAATTTGGCCCAAACAAAAACGTCCGACATCAAAGAGACAACAGTGGGTGATCTGCAGACCTCGTTGCAGGACGATTGTGTTGTGCTGACAACGAGTCGCGGCCAACACATAGCGCCCTCCTACAAGGCATCATCGTCCATGACAATGGGAACAACAACAGCATCGTCGTCGTCGTCGTCACATCGTGATCTTTTAATTTCATCAACGCCACTGGCGTCATCAGCCGCGGCAGCAACAGCAGCAGCATCATCGTCAGCAGCGTCAGCTTCAAATAGCCAAAAACCGTTGTATAATTCAAGAAAGTTTGGCTTGTGGTGACAAACACTGTTACAGCGCCAACAACACTATGCACCATTTCAATAAGGTAAGTGTGTGGGGGCGGGGAAGGGGGAAATAACAATTTGTCAGTTTTTCCATTGACTAAATAAATAGTTCAATAATTCAAAACGTAGAAACATGTTTCATCAAACCAAATTTTCAGGAATAGTTCAGGTCATACATACATTTTAGACAGTTCTGCTATGTTCTTAAGGCAGAAAGTGGCGTATGCGTCGTATTAAGCGAGGGACTTCCGATGTCTCTGAAGTATATTACTCTTAAAAATACTCTTCAATGGTCTACAATAAACGACATTCTAAAATAGATCGTACTCAATCACTCGTATCAATCGTGTTCTCGTCGACAGGAAATCTATAATTTTATAGCGTTACCAGGTTAGAGAATTTTATAGACTACTAGTCTACAGGAAAATTATAAACAGGTTTCTATGTAAGAGAATTTTGAAAGGACTTGCATTGTTCTCCTATACTTATTCGACAGGCTCGACAGACAGACCACATGAAGGAATTTCGACACAATAGAATAGCCCCTCCCATATTTTTTATTTAATTAAAATACTCCATAAGGCATTTTTTTCTATAGAAGCACCCTAGAGGCTTTTTCTCTAAAAGACATTTTCTAAATGGCGCTCTGTTCTATAGAAATACCACCAACAAATATTCAACTCTGGTGATTACTTAAAATGGACTTAATATAATTCTTTAGTGTTTCAACTTTTTTTTGAAGTCCCCTAGCCTTCTATTCTACAACCAGTAGAGGATATTCTATTCTCAAGAAAACATACGCAACTGGTGACCCATTTTACAAAATAATACTATGGCCTATTCAAAGAGACCCTAAATTAAAAGTAATTTCACTTCTATATATATTTCTTAATTTCTCTATTATATTTCTAGAAGGGGAAATTTTTTTTTACTAGATTAAGGAATTTCCTCTAAAGAGGTCTACTCTGTTCTCCTATTTTCTATTCTCTACAAGATTCACCACTGCAGTGCATTCACGGAAAGCTTCTTCTTTTATATTCCCTAAAAAGGGCATACTAAATTATCGTACCCTTAAAGATGACACCCATATATATAATTTTCTGCTCTTGAAAGAACTTTATACATGATCCTAAAAAATGTCCTCTTTTCTATAGAAGACCGTCTATACAAAAGTTTCCCATAAAAAGTCCTCCTCCAAAGTCAAACGAATTAACTTTTACAATTTTTTTTCTAATTATATAAAATGAAAGAAAAAAAATGTCGGAAATAGCATGAAATTTTAGAATAAGTTTAGATTTGTTCGAATTGGTCACCTTTGGCACGAATTATGGCCTTCAAACACCCATGAAAGCGTCACACGCTGCCCGAATGTTGCTCTACGGTATTTGGGCCCATTTCCGGCGGAGCGCTTGCTTGAGGTGTTCGACACTTGGGTATTATTTAGTGCCAACCTTGCTTTAAAAATACTCCAGACACAATAGTCCAACGGATTGGTATCCGGAGATTTTGGTGGCCATTCATTTCCATTTTGGTGGCTGCTGGAAACGAAGCGAGGAACTTCATTTTGTAACAATTATTGGGTGAAGCGTGCTGAGTGCGATGGTGCTGAGTCCTGTTGGAATGTCCAAGATTTGCGGCCAAAATGTTTGCGTGCCCAAGGCTTAAATACTCCCTCTAGAATATTTTCGCGATAATATTCGGCATTTATTCTGATGCCACGGTCGATTAATGCGAGCAGAGAGCGACCATCGGCTGTTATGGTGGCCCACACCATCACCATGGCCGGCATTTGAGTTCCGGTGGCCACCGTTTTCACCCATTTTCAGCTGACCTCTTAGGCAAGTAAACCAAATTCAGCAGTTCACCACATTCGGCCAAGCGAAACAACTCTTAAGCTCTTTTGAGTCTATTTTCTTTCTGTTGCGGTGTAAGTTCTGGCACTTTTTGGGATTTCAATGACTTTACCCCAAGCTCATTTTCCAATATTTGCCGAATGAAATATTACAATCTGTTCAGCTCACGAGCCACTGCGACGCGGGTTTCGATCAAGTCACTTCTTTGCTTTTCGAACGATTTCTGCTGATGTTGCTGTTTTCTTTCGTCCACTTCCTGTACGTCGGGCTACGCTACCAGTATCACGGTAACGATCGATGGTACGAGACACAAAAGATTTATTCACATTTATATGCTGGAATGCTTTCTTTTCTGGAAAATTCTCACCAAAATACTTTTGTACGCTTGTAAACAATATAATGAGCTGTCACTGGAATAATTTTAAGAGCTATCGAATGAGTGGCTTATAAATGACAACAGTCTGAATTTGGTTGCAGTTTTTTCATCTCACCCTGTAGGTCCTAGAAGACAGCAAAGGTCTAAATTTTATCTAAACGAAGTACTTTTTGTGATTTTGTGAAAAAATGTTCAATAATCCTTCATTTTAAGATGAGGCCATAGAAAAATATATTCATAATCAAATGTAACTACGATCTATTTCCGCTGTACGTAACAAAATATTACATCAAAGTTACAAAAAAAACATTATTTTTTTTTTTGATCAACTTTTTCTCTGACTTTTTTTGAATTGGCGCCTGAAAGCAATATCATATCCTGTTTTAGGCGGAAATGTCAACATTTGGCGAATTTAAATAGATTCACCATGTTTTCCATTTAATTTCACCGAATGTTGAGTTATCCTTACAAGAAGGCTATTCCAAAATTTGGTCCAATGTGACCCATTTTCTTTGGATTTTATCCAAAGGTCACCATCAAATTTCAAATTACTTGAACTATTCAGATTTGTTTTCTTCAGAGACGCAAAATGAAATTCGATCTAGAAAAATTCTCACTTTGACATTTTCCCAAAAATGAGGTATAAAGGAAGATTTTGACTCGGATTGAATATGTTTTAAATTAACAATAAACAAGTAAGCAGAGCCTACAGACGAGCGGGGCCGACCGTTGAATACTCTACAACACTATAATAAACGATACAGTTTATATAGGCGAGATACTCGAAAGAATTCCACAAGATATTGTGACAAATAATAAAAGAAAACCATCAGGTTTCGTTCTCTAATTTTCGAATAATAGCAACTTTAACTAATTTGCTGATTTCCAATTTATTGGTAGATGTTGCACGTAAATGGTCTTCCTAGATCTGGAACCAATATTTCCCAAAGACCTATAATCTCTCAAAAGTGGCAAAAGATTAACATTTATTATTGGTTTTCGACTGAAACGCATCTATATCCAAGAGGCCATTCTGAATTAATGAGAACTGTCGAAATCAGTTCAGCCGTTCTCGACATATAAGAGATCTTTCAAGCATATCTTCTTTGATAGACATATATATCGCACATATTTTGCTATATATCCGATTTGTTGGATGTTAACATCAATGTAAAGATCAGACGTAACCTTGTCATGGCTTAGTGATTTCGCCGGGATTTAAAATATTCGCGGTTTAATGAAAAATTTTGAATTTTTTCAACACAAAAGATATGGTCTCTTTTACCCGCTAAATATTATCCGATGACCAAATTGATAGGCTTCTTCCCCGCCCTAAACTCTAGCTACATGCGAAATTCCGCGTCGATTGGTCTATAATTGCGACCTGTATAGCTACTGCAAAATCCGACATTTTCTCAGTATTTGGTCCATTTCAAACCCTAAACATTTGGCGATCATCTCCAAAAGAAATAGGCTTCTATTCTGACCCTAACCCCACCTTCGTTCAAAAATTCGTTAGGATCGGGCCATAATTGCGACCTGTAGCGTGATTACAAATTAACATGGACAGACGGACGGACGGACATACATAGCTAGATCGATTCAGCTCGGCGAGCTAGGAAATCACTATGTGGGAAATCACTATTTCGAGGTGTTACATAATTTTTGGCCCAATCAAACTTATAATACCCCCAACACATAGTGTTGTAGGGTATAATGATGTGAAAAATAAAAACTCTTTTGACAAATTCCACCTAAAACGAAATTTTATGCTACTTAGATGGGTCAACTTGAAAAAATCCGAGGAAAAATTTACAAAAAAGGAACAAATATTTTTTTTAAATGCAATGAAGATATATGTATATATATTTCTCCTCTTAGGTAACTTATAGTGAAATTTGATGTAAAATATTTTTCTCATAGGCGTCTTTCTTTTGAAATGACCCTAAAATGTGTTTTTAATGTGTTTTTAATGTGTATCAATTCCTGGCGATTTGGTAAGATTTAGACCCTTGACGTCTTTTAGGAATAGGTGGTGAAATATTTCGACGTTATATGATCCCATATAAAAGAGGATCCAATATATAACTTTGTTGCATCGCTCGAGGGTTAACATTTTCGACCAAAATATTCATTGTATTTTTATCCGCAATATTGCCGAGGAATGAATCTTAAACCTACAATTTCCAGAAATGTGGAAGAGGCGGGACTTGACCCATCTATTAAAAACGCCGTTACACGTGTCTTTATTTTATAGCTCTACCTTCGAAATCTTCTGGATTTTCCCCGTTTTTTTTTTTTTTTTTTTTTTGTTTTTTTTTTTTTTTTTTTTTTTTGTTGCACTTTGTAATTCCACTCCATATAGTAAATTTATTCTTGGTTATTATATAGCTATGCTCATATGTATTTTTCTATTGCAATCAAGGTAGAAGCTGCATCGGACATTTTTTGTTGGGCAAATGGGTAATTGTATTTTTTTTTTGCACCCCAGCCTTTTATATTAAATTTTGTCTACTTGTATATCATCGTCATTCACCTTCTGCTTCTAATATTAGAAAATTTAAAAATTTATATTTATATTGAAAAATAATAGCGTAATTAATAAAAAAAACCCAAAAGCATGTTAGCCCAGTTATATCCATAGATGGAACACATAATGAAAACATGTTGTCATTTATAAATGCCCAAAGTACTGGACATTTGTTCTAATTTTGAAATAAATGTCCTTGCATTCAATAGCTTCGGTAGCAGCAGTTTTCCTCTGCACAATAAATGCAATATGTTTTCTAAGACTTTGTAAGCAAGAAAAAGT